TTTTATAAAATTAGTCAACACCATACAAGGCTTGGAAAAGACTCAAAAATATCTTAAATCACTTGGTCGATATGGTAATGCACCGTTTTTGGTTGGTTTATATGGATGTGGTAACGAAATAGCACAAGGATTTTGTAGGTATGATATCATATTTCTTGTAATATAATTTAAATAGAAAATTATATTACTTTAACTGCTTTATTGATACCTTTATTTTTTTAGAATTTGTGCTGTATATGGTGGAATTTACATGCTTGATCATTCTGTTAAACACCTCTTGATTGACGAGAACTCGAATAAATTCACGGGATTAGTAGATGTGAATGATCAACAAATATCATCTACTTTCTTGGTCTCATCTATTGACTACCTTCCATCAATATTTCTCAAAGAAGATGAGCTTTGGTATGTATTAAATTGTACTAATAATTTAAAACATCTTGTCGAATCATCGACAATATCAACTCTAATTGATATAGGGAAACAACGTCACGTGCGATAGTGATCACAGATAAATTTATTCTTGAAGAAACCGGTGATGCATCATTAACCATTTATCCACCAGAAACAGTGAAAAATAAATATCCTGTAACCGTACTTCAATTCTCTGCTGGAACGCAAACATGCCCTGAAGACAGATGTTAGTCTTTATTGGATGTCTTCTTATTCGAGGCTCTTTCGTTGTTTATCTATCACTTATGGTCATATAACATCAAAGGATGAAGTATTATATTCACAGCTATCCATTTTTCTTTATCGATGATGGATAGACGTTTTATACTTGTCCACGAAAGCGAACGGTCAGAGCGCTAAAGAAGATTTGATTAACGCATTGGACAAATTGATTAATCTCACAGTTAATAAGAATGAAGGCGAGTAAATAAATATATATATATATTAGTTGTTTGTAATAAAAATTATATTATAAATTGTGACCAATACTTTTAATAAATTTTAGATTCTGTGTCAGATACTACTAAACCGAATCCTCTGTTCGAATTGTTTTACCGACACAAAAAGCGAGTTGTAAATTCTTCAGAAATACCCGAAAATATTATTATTGCAAATGATCCAGATTCATCACTAGATTTTGAGGAAGCTACTATTCAAGCAAGGCAATATTTTGAAAAAATGTGCTCTGGTGAAGAATTTTTACCTGCAGGACCCGATCCTGATGATGAGGAAGAGTTTATTGTTTAATAACATAATATTTATATTTTTTTTTTGATATTATACTAAATTTTTGGTATACCATATTGAATTGATATTTATAATAAAGTAAATACAATACTAAGGAGATTGTTCTGTTCTCCAAAGTTCTTTGT